ATTTTTGGTCATCTGGGAATATACCTAATAAAGGAATTGCAGGGTCAAATGGCAGGTCTATTTTTAGTTCTCTAAGTGTTCTCCAGATGTCTTTCCAAAAGAGAGTGTGTAGTTTTTTATATATGTATTGGTTTCGTATTAGTACTGAGTACATTGGATTTTTTTTTCTTCCATTCTTGAGATACTTTACCAAGAAGAATGTGTTTCGATGCCATCTAGGTAAACATAAGAGGTGTAAAGTCTCCATCTTTTCTTATGTTTTGCCCGTTTTTAAATTGGGCTGCTTATTATTTTGATGTTGAGTTGTGATCGTCTCTGATGACCCTGGGTGTTTTCTGGAGGGGCTTGGGTGCTTCCACACCCCCCTCAGCAGTCACTGCGTATGTTGTCGAGCCCCCAGGAGGGGGAGCCTGCTGGACGATTCCAGCACCTTCTGCCTTCTGTTAGCTCCACATCCACGTCCACTCTGTCTTTCTCCTCCATGTCTAGGTACCGTCTTGAGCTGGTGCTTCCAGCCTTCTGCTCTCCTCCTCCTCTGGTACCTTCTTCTTTTTGTTTTCTGTGTCTAATCCTGCCTGTCGGCTCCTCCTTACAATGGGCCCAGTTTTGCCCTGTCCCTTATTACTGCTCTTTCCCTGAGATTGTACTTGGGGCTTCTGAAGGGGGTATGTACATAAAATATGTGAAAGTCTCCTTTGTAAAGAGAAGCAGAAAGGTTTCTGTGTGGGCAGTGGGGAGGCAGAGGGAGCACATGACATTTTTGAAAGAACAGTTGTCTAGGCCAGGCGCTGTGGCTCACACCTGTAATCCTAGCACACTGGGAAGCCAAGGCCAGTGGATTGCTTGAACTTAGGCGTTTTGAGACCAGCCTGAGCAACATAGCAAGACCCACTCTCAACTAAGAGCAGAAAAACTAGCCCGGGGTTGTGGTGGGCACCTGTAGTCCAGCTACTCGGAAGGCTTAGGCAAGAGGATCACTTGAACCCAGAAGTTTGAGGTTGCTGTGAGCTATGAGCCTATAGCATTCTACCCAGGCCAACTGAATGAGACTTTGTCTCCAAAAATAACAATAATAAAAAGGAAAGACAAAGTCTCTGACAGGAAAGCCTGGGTGAACTGCTACCTCATTTAAGAAACTGGAAGGAACCTGGAGTAAGGGAGATTTGACCAGGCTGTTTGTTTTGGCTCCCACCATGTCAATCACAGGTGCAGTGAAATAGGGGCCTGAGATGAGCTTCAAGGGTGAGTCCCTGAGCCCATCCCTCACCTGCCGTTGTCCACGCAGAAGTGTTTTCTGCTCCCCAGCTACGTGAAGAGTGGGGTGTCAAGGTTTCTCTGCTCAGGAAGGGGCCTTGGTGGGCAGGTGCACATCAGCTTGTATTGGACTGGAGGGCAGGAGGCACCTGACCCACACCCATGCTCATGGAGGGGGACTTCCAGCTCGGCACGATTCCCTGAAACCAAGAATGTTCTGAGTTTGGGAAAATCATTCCAGAACTGTTCACAGGGTCTAAAAGCATAAGCTTTAGATTCTTTCTCCACTTTTCTCACTCTCTTGACTGCAAATTCTTTTTTGTTTTGTTCTGTCGGCCTATGTATTTTTTTTTAACATTAGAAAGACTATCTTTGTCATTTGTTCTTTTATTTTAGGATGAATACATTTAAACGTGGCTGGCATTCAGAAACAATCGATTTATAGACAATTAGCAATACATTGTCCCCTTTTTCTCTATGAGTAGGACTATAAGCTGCCACACACACGCCGGGGATGGAAGGGAGGTTAGTGCTGGACGTTGGCAGAGTCTAGCTTGCTGTGAGTCTTTAATTTTCTGATTCCAGGAGCCGAAGTAAATTGAGGTCAGGGAACCTCTGAGACAGAAGCAGGCTGTTTCATTTGAGTCACTCTAAATGAGATGCTGTTTTTAGGTTGTGCCTAACCAATAGAAAAGCTCACGCCTTACTTCTTCCTGTGCTTTTGTCTCTTCTGCAGGTCAGCCCAAGTAATGTCATCAAGAAGACGGGATTTGATTTTCTGGACAATTGGTAAAATGTGTTAGACAGGAAAATAACAGTAAGAACCCCAAAATATTCTCCGAAGTGGTACAGTGGAGGAGGATCCAAAGGGCCACCTTTCTCTCCGTATTTTCCCAATTTCACTATACTCTTTTTTAATCATTTGGAAACTGGTCAGTTTTGCCAGCTTTTCCTTTTTAGTAGAACCAAATATATATGCTATTTTCAATTATTTGATAACAAATTTTGCATTTGGACTTTTTAAGGAGGGCTCTGAATTCAGTAGGTTGCATGAGTACAACCTGCCCTCCCCCTGCCCAGTTCTCCTTCAAAGTGATTTCCATCTCCTCTGTCCCTCCTCCCCACGCACCCCCTTTAACATATGGGGTTCCCTTTGCTGGGTGATTGGCAGTGGTGTCCTCAGCTGTGGCATTAGCATGCTGGCTGTCACCATGGAAAGGTCTGCCCCAATGAAGTTCTCACCTCGCGTTCACTGCTGCCTAAAGCTGCTCTTGCTGAAGCCACAGCTCTTACCCTCACGTCATTTAAAGGGAGCAGACTATTGGCACATGGCAGACAGAACACATCATTTTTTACCTGCCCTGATACTTATTCAAAGTATCAATCATTGTTCAAAAAGAGTTGCATGTTTAAAAATTATGTATTAACTTTTCATTATTTTGTATTTAGGTTTAGCTGTGGGACTACCACCTTTCCTAGTTTTGTATCAGTTTCCTTTTGGCTGTTCTTGTTAGTTATGTATGCTGTTAGTTGTTCCCTGTCCTGGGCACTTGCAGGCATCAGGGCAGATGGCCGACACGGCTGGAGGACGAGGATCTTCTCCTTGGTTGTTAGAGCCTTCCTGTGTGAGACTAGTTGGGCAGTGGACATCCTTCCTCCCAAAGACTGGTCACGTTGCATCGTGATAGACCTTCCACCAGCCCTGACACCATTGGAAGTGGAAGAGTAGAGTTTCTGATCACCTCAGAAGTCATTGTGGCATCATAGCAACAGTATCCCTCAGAGCTAGTGCATAGTCTGAGGCAGCCTGGTGGAGCAGGTGGCCCACCTCGCCGGGGTAGCCACTGCGTTCACAGGCTGCCCTGTCCCATGGTGCCTGATCAGCAAGAGGTGTCCAAGCAGAGCCTGGAGCCCTGTACTGTGCGATGTCAACACAGCCATCACTGCATTCTCACCTGAAGCCTTAATCCTTGTGACCCTGCCAGTGAGCACTTGGTTTCAATGCCAAAGTGCATTTTTGAAAAAAAAAGGGGGGGGGCCTGTTTCCATAGGATCTTCTGAAATGATTCTAGACTATTGTATCTGACTCTCAAGGCACATAGCATCATTCCCCCCCCCCAGGAAAATTTCTGCCAAAATCTGGGGTTTACCCAACATTTGCTGTGGTTCTTATAAATTGCTTCATGTTTCTAAACCTCTTTTGGCTACACCTCCCCTCCAGCTCAGCAAACATAGATAGGCTCCTTCTATGCCACTTAAGCATAGTTGATACATGCAGGGGAAAAACAGTTTCCTGCATGGTGGGGAGAGAAGAAAGCTCACAGGTCCTGGCTGGCACAGCCCAAGCAGGACACCAGCTCCCCTGGGGCTGGCGGTAGTAAACCCACAGGGAGCCTCAGAACGGCCTCCACTGCCTGTGCTTTCTGCCTCAGGGTGATGGGCTGTTTTAAACCCATAGTAGCAAGTGTGTATATATGAGTTTATAGTCCCTAAATTTTTCTGTGTTGTAGGACAGTGGGCCGGAGTGATCTGTCTCTTTTCTTGGGAGAAATTCTAATTTCTTTCCCACTTTCTCATAAAGCCCAATATTCCCTTTAAGTTCTCCTTGGAGCTGAGAGATAGAGGAATTATTGAAAACTTCTGCCTCAGTACCATCTGGGACTCAGCAGTGTTTGGTTAACTCTCATAATAGCATTTCTTAATGATATAGCCCCTGAGATTAAATGTAAAATCAAATCCTCCAATCTGAAAGTCAGATTGCTTTGCTCTGCTTGGGAAGAAGTAAGGGCCTGGAGGGCGGGAGTCTCCATCCTGCCTGGTCCATGGGATCTTCCTTCTCACCTGGGCAAAATCTATGCCAGTGTTTTTCCACCTTTTAATCTCACAGCACACTCGAACCTATTGTTAAACTTTGCAGCACACTTAAATTGTGTTGATCCAAAAAAAAAAAAAGAAAGCAAAAAGGAAAAGTAAAGAATATACTTTGCTTTAAACTTCTTTTGAAAATAATTTAATTAATGATCTTTAAAAATCTTTACAGCTCACCTAAGGTCCTCTCATGGCATACCCTTATGCCGAGGCACACTGGTTGAAAATCACTGGTCTGTCCCTTCCAGGGCGTCTATGTGAAGGAAAATTAAACTCTTCATTTGCCACCCCCTCCCCCTGCATCAAGATGCAATTTCTAAAATCAGGAGTTTATATTTATTTTTTAGAAAATAAACACTTTTCAGGGGAAGCCTGTTCATAATTTTGGATCCCTACCTTACTTCACGAGGCTTCAGTGTCTTGTTACACAAATTCCCCCAAGAAATCAGAAGCCAGTCTCTGTCTTATTGGAGGCGCCTCCCTGGCCCTCTGAGTTTGGGAGTGCTGTCTACATTGGGGACAGGGGTCCATCTCCAGCCGAGCCTTACGTCCCGTGTGGCTATCAGGAGCATCCTCCCTTACTTTGATACATGTTTTCAAAAATAATAGATTCTTACTGACAACTTGTAACTTGGTCATATTTTATACTCATACCCTTTAATAAAGCCATTTTTAAAATGCTACTTGTGTCTATTTTGAGCTTCTGCCGGACTGGGAAGCCCGGGAAGATGATTATAGCTGCATAGGGTTCAGAGGTTCTGTGCTGCTGAGACCTCACCGCAGGCACAGTCTCAGCACCGTCCTCTGTGTGGGTTTGTGGGAGGTGATGACTCTGAGCAGGAGGGCTGGGCTCTATCTTGGAAGACTCCTACATAACCCTCAGGTGAGATGGAAGCTATGTTAAGACTTTCCAGAGACAAGTTTATCACATTAAGCAACTGTGGCTCTGAAAAGCTGTGTCCCTGAAAGCTTTTCTGGTTATTCAGGACAGGGTGGCCAGGGGACTGGGGGAAAAATACAAAATTAAACATGGCCAGTCAATCCTATTCCATTCATTAAAGCACAGGTGGCAAATTACCAATTATTGATTAAGGCTATATCAATTTTCCATATCAAATAAGCTTATAAAGCTAATACCCCTGAGAAAAACAGTGACTCAGGCAGACAGGCTTCTGACTTACCACCATGCACCTTGCTGCATTGAGGGACCAAACTTAACCCAAGAGAGTGAGCACTGTGCTTATTGAAGCATCGTGTTCTGGTGGATCAATCGTCTCTGGTGTTTGTGATGACACTTGCGGGTCAAATGTACTATGAGGTCTACTTGTTATGATAGTTCCCAAGTCTCAGATTTGGCAGCTCTGATGGTAACTCAGTGTGTGCGATTAACATAGCCAGAAAAGGTGTTTCTCTGTAACAGGGAGCCATCCACAGAGGAACAAAATCCACCTGGGTATGTTCAGCACTTTGCAGCCACAGAGGGAAAATGCTGACTGGGGACAAGAATGCCGGCCATGGTGGGGTGGGACCTTCAGGGGCTTTCCCAGCAGGGTCTGCTCTGACCCTGTGCTTGCAGGCAGTCTGAATTTTCCAGCTGTCTAGGTGCTTTGGCACCCAGAAGAGGGGTGTCAAGGAAGACATCAGGGGTTCTAAGGCCCACCTAAAGTCAGGTAGAAAACAGGAGAGCAACCTGGATATAAGATAAAAATTCCAGAGCAGCATATTTGTTTCTTAGGGATGTGATAAAAAAGTGTCACAGTCTGCGTGGATTAAGCAGTTTATTTTCTCACAGTTCTGGAGGCTGGAAGTCCAAGATCAGCATGTCCAGCTGGCTTGGTTTCTTCCTGACCTTGCTGCATCCTCACAAAGGCTGCTCCTCACGTCTGTCTGTGTCATCTGTGTCCGAAACTCCTCCTCTTATAGGGTCACTAGTCATATTGATCAGGGCCCACCCCAGCCACCTGTTGTAACTTAATTACCTTTTTAAAGGCCCAATCTCCAAATACAGTGTCATTCTGAGGAACTGGCTTCAGCATAAGAATTTGGGGGTGAGAGGAAGGAATAATTCAACCTAAAATAAGTAGTTATAAGTGGTAACAAATGACACTCAAATGGCAATCATAAAATATCTGGAAAATAAATGTACAAAGACTAAAAAAAAAAAAAAAACTATAAAACTCAGAAGCATTAGAAGAAGATCTGGACAATCTGGATGGCCCCTAAAGAATACAGAAACACTGGGTGGCGCCTGTGGCTCTGTGGGCAGGTTGCTGGCCCCATATACTAAGGGTAGCGGGTTTAAACCCGGCCCCAGCCAAACTGCAACAAAAAATAGCTGGGCACCTGTAGTCCCAGCTACTTGGGAGGCTGAGGCAAAAGAATCACCTAAGCCCAGGAGTTCGAGGTAGCTATGAGCTGAATGCCCATGGCACTCTACCAAGGGCAATAAAGCGAGACTCTATCTCTACAAAAACAAAAAAAAACAAAAAAAAAACAAAAAGCACACACACAGAAATGCTAACTTTTCCCATCATTTTATAAAGTTAGTGCAACCTCAGTAAAAATTCCAGTTGGACATTTTAAGAAATGTAGTAAATATACTATAAATGATTAACGGAGAAATAGTTGCGCTAAAGTAAAGCAGGCTTTATCTATCAGTTAGGAAAATGTATTCCAAGGCCATGGAATTACAGTTCGGAGGTATTGGTGAAAGGACGCACAATTAGATCACCCAAACAGGATGAAAAGCTCAGGGACACACCCACCACAAGCACATGGGAGCCTTAGTTACAATCAAGTGGCATCACAAACTGCAAGGAAAAGGCAGGCTTCTTTACTGAACAAACTCTCACTATAGGGAAGTGGAAACAATTCCCACCCAACGTTACGCGGAAGGTGGGCTCTGTGTGCATTAAAGGCCATACTGTAAAAGGTGACAAACAGATGGCAGAGGAAAATAGCCAGTGACCTAGGGTAAGGAAGGCCTTTCATAAAACTTAAAAGCACAAGCTGTAAAGCACAATAATCTGATTTCATAAAAACATAGGATTTCTGTCAGTGAGGAGGGATAGAATTTATTAGCTGAGAGGGTGGGGGCAAGACATTTGCCATGTCACTTCTGACAAAGGACAAGTGTCAAGAGCATACAGGGTATGTCTTTTTTAAATTTTATTTTATTTTTATTTTTGAGACAGAGCCTCAAGCTATCACCCTGGGTAGAGTGCTGTGGCATCACAGCTCACAGCAACCTCCAACTCCTGGGCTCAAGTGATTCTCCTGCCTCCACCTCCCAAGTAGCTAGGACCACAGGCGCCCGCCACAGGCGCCCGCCACAACGCTATTTTTTGGTTGCAGCCGTCATTGTTGTTTGGTGGGCCTGGGCTGGATTCGAACCTGCCAGCTCAGGTGTATGTGGCTGGCACCTTAGCCACTTGAGCTACGGGTGCCAAGCCCTTGGGTACGCCTTTAAATTAATAAGAGGCTAGCAACCTTGATAAAAAAAAAATAGAAAAAATCCTCAAAACTGTCAAGTGTATGAAAAGGTGCTAAAAATAATTGGTAACCAGACGGGGAAAAAATAAGCTGGATCACTGCAAGTTAGGTAATGAGATTAAACAGTGATTTTTATCTGGAGAGATTTTGTGCCCCCAGAGGGGATATTTGCAAGAGTTGAGACATTTTTGGTTGTTACATTTGGGGAGGGTGTGCTACTGGTGTCCAGGAGATAGCGGCCATGGCTGCCACTGCATGTCCTGTAGTGCACAAAGCAGCTCTCCACGGCATGTGCTCCCCAGCCCACAATGTTAATGCGGTCCAGGTGGGCAAACCTAGAGACCCCTGTGCAGCTGGTGGGGTGGGAGCAGCCTGATGCTGTTTTGCCAGATTAGTTATCTGTGTATCCTGTGATTCTGCAATTTCCCTCCTGGATATATATCCCTAAGATATTCTCACACAGGGACTTAGGGAACCTGCTTATTGTACAGGGTTGTTCATTGCAGTGTTACTTGTGAGAGTTGGAGGGAGGCTAGATGCGTGCCACTGGGAGGAGGGCTAGAGATGGGCCCACACCACGGCCATTATGTAGCAATTAAAAGCAAAAAAGAGTTGTACATACAGAAACATCAGTGGATCCAAATATGGATGGATATTACTTGGTGAAAAAAGCTGGACACAACATGGAATGCTGCCTTTGTCCTTTTCTGGTGCTTACAACAATATCTGAAATGGGGCAATTTATAAGGAAAAGAAATTTACTCTTACAGTGGTGGATAGTAAGAAGTCCAGGGTTGATTGAGGGTTGCATCTGGTGAGGTCTCTGGCAAGCTCCAAGGCCGGGGAAGGTGTTGAGTGCTAAGATGCTAGCTCAGGTCTCTCTCTGTCTTCTTATAAAGCCACCAGTTCCCTCCCAGGATAACTTATTAGTCTATTAACCCATTAATCTATGAATGGATTAATCTATTCATGAGGTCAGTGTTCTCATGATCCAATCCCCTCTTAAAGGCCCTACCTTTCAATATTGCCAACTGGGGATTAAGTTTCAACATGAGTTTTGAAGGAGACACTCAATCTATAGCAAATATATATACTATGATTTGCGTAAATGAAAAACATGCACTCAAGACAAAGCCTATTTAACAGAATAGGAGGGTTGCCTGTGAAATAGGGATAGAATAAACACAGGGAAAAAAAAGAACAGTGGAATCTTAAATGGACCAATAGTAATTATGTGCCACTATGTGCCTACCTGAAAAGAAATTTGATACCAAGCATCATCTAGGTTTGTAATTGAGCTCTCACAGAAGTCTCATTTATTTAGCTGATATGTTAGATCAGAGGTCACTGGCTAGATTTTTTGTGGGTTAGCTCTGTTTTGTTGCAATTTGTAAGACTCTCTACTTGTGCATAAGCCAAAATCTATAGCAATAGCAAGTGGGGCAATTGAGCAGGCTGGGAGGAGAGAGAGGATAGGGATGAATTAGTGACATCTTATGTCCTATTTCTAGGGGCAAAAGTTATACAGACAGTGTCGGGGGAAGGGCACCCCTCAGAGAAAGAAATGACTTTATCAATTGGCCA